GCTCGAGGCCCAAAAGTTTCCTCGCGAACCACTTGCTGGGCTCTTCCACCACATGGCGGGACAGCCAGCCTAGGAGCAGCAAGGTCACCACAGTGGGGACAATGTCCAAGAGGCTCTTGCCGCCGGACTTGCCGCTTGAGGACGGATAGAAAAGGCCGACTGTTTGTAGCACGGGCTGCTGAAAAACGTAGAAGCCGTAGCTGACATTTCCAAGCTGCACGAGGAAGTTGGAGCTGAGCAACTCACCAAGCATGCTCTTACGAGGCCCGAAGCACAAGGCCCACACAATCCAGGCCGTCACGGGGCATTGCAGGTTCATGTCGCTGCAAAGGTATGTGAGTGGCGTCTGTGGCAGAAACGTGAAGACTAGCACGACGGCCGCCAGCACGTCTGCGGCCGTCACGAGCCCCGGAGCATCGGCAGCGAAGTACGGGATGAGCATGCCCAGGGCAACCTCCGGGAGTCGGAAGAGCGCGAAGCTGTACCAGGGCACCTCAAGGCCAAGGAAGGCGTGCCGATACCAGGGGTCCTTCTCAAAGCCCCCATCGTTGAGGATGACCACGGCGAAAGCAATAACAACCATCTTTGCCGTGATGCACAGGCCAGCCATGGTCAAGAGCCCTCTCTGAGTCCATATGGGCCGGAGCAAACAGAACTCCAAGAAAGGGCTTAAGAGGTAGACTACGACCACCACGTGCAAGACCCAGAAGGTTGGAACAGTGCTCCCAGGCACTCCTAGCAGGAGAAACAAGCGCCTGGGCTCATGGACAGCGATTCGCACGAAAGTGCTCGCGCACATAGAGATGAGATGAAAAGGATTGAGGATCCAGTCTGCTCCAGCAACTTGACCATCCCAAACGTCTTCCAAGCTGAGCGCCAACCAGTACACCGGGCAAACACGCGCAACACGGAGGAGCATCCACTGAAGGGCTGCCTTCGGCGAGTAAAGGAGGAACTTACTCCCTCCCTCGCAGAGGTTGGGAAGGGGCTGTGCACCGGGCTCTGTCGGTGGACGTCTCGCCAGGCTCAGCAGGCAGCCGCAAAGCACCAGCAGGCAGCCGTCCCAGCTGAGGGGCTGAAGTTCCACGTGCTGGGCGAAAACGCCAAGGACAGCCAGAAAGGAGAAGCCGTTGAGAGCAGCCGTCCTCGAGGGGAAACTCATGCATAGGCTCTCCCGATGCAGAACACTGTCCACAACCCCCAAATGCACTGGTTTTTGATGCTTTGTCTGAACACTAGACAACCTCATGACGTGTTAGAACGCTGCCTGCTGCATGATTCTTAGCACTCATGCGAACAGCGTTAGGCGAGATTAGTAAGAGAGTACACATTGAATCGCTGAACTTGCGAAGTTGGATGCGCAACAAAGACAGTTCGTGTAACGATGTCAACTGCTTCCAGACTGTGACAGTCTTCGTTGTAGACTCTGGACTCTAGATCACCTATGATAGAATAAGGAAAGCAACATTGATGCCTCGCATAATGCACGCTGCATCACACTGCATGCGGAAGTGCTTGTAATAGAGGCACTTCTACAAGAGGTCCTGTAGCAACCTTGCAGCTGTTAGTCCGCCTAGCCTATGCATTGCGATCTTCACACCACTGACCGCAAACTAAGCTATGATGGAAGTCGGATGCGTAAGCCTTCAACACTCGAGGGCAACCCTTGTTCATCCTTTTTCTCATTCCCAGCCTGCTACACTTTTCATGCATGCTGCCGGCATGATGTTTACAAGTATCGACTTCGCCCTGATGTAGAAATCCCGGCATGCAATGCCACAAACTTCGTGCGTCGAACTTTTTGTAACTCATGCCCCACCTCGCACATACCCTCTCCAGCCAACCTCGAACAACCTTCAAGCGTGAACATGCGTTCGTGCCAGCAAAGTTATCATTGTTGGCGTAGTCGAGCTACAAGAGCTCAAACATGACCCCATACTTGAAGCTTGCTACCATAAACGCGGTTTTACTTTAAGGCAATCATAGTGTATAAGGGGCTATGGGCGCTTCCATGAACTGTTGGCCTTGGATGGAGTTTAACGAGCTGCCTGGCAAACTCCAGGCCAAAAGCCCTAAACCCTCATGTCCTTGTGCAGCGTGGAGCCACACCGCCCCGCAAAGAGCACAGCACGAGGGCCAGGGCCAAAGGCAGGCAAAGCTGGGTGAGGATGCCGACCAAGTGCCACGACACCTGACGCCATGGGTTTCACGAGGTTTGGGGTATGTTTATGCCTCCCGCCTGGCTAGGACGAACCTACGAAGGGGGTCTGATTGCTAATTTTAATGAATCCTGCAACTGTTGAAACGGGACCCTTCTCTCGTTTCGGAGTGGTGTCGTAGAAGATTTCCCTGTGCGAGATCTCGAAAATAGCCCTTCCAGCTGCGTCGTCAAAAACATGCACAGCCCATCAACGACCGACTACTCACTCTCTCAGCCGCGGCATTCTGGGGTTTGGGGGGACCAGACAAGGCACGCTACGAACAAGGCTACAGGCAAAGGGTTGGAGGTGAATGCTACATACATGACCCCAATACGGTCCTCGACGCTTTCACTAAGCGTTTCAGGAAGGAATCCTTGTAGACAGGAGGTGGCCTGCATGGTCGCTTCGGGGACGTCGGAAGCACTCGACGAGACCACGGGGCCGAGATGTCCTCCCAAGCCTGATTTTCGTTAGGTTGCGGGCTTCTTAGCCTCCCGTCTGACGAGGACGCCGGATTACTCCGAAAAGCAAACGGCTCTATGTTTCCTCGACTAAGCAGAAGTCCGGCCCGCACAGGCTGACGGCATGCGATGGGATTCTCGCTGCAAGGACACCCGAATCGGAACAAACAGCCCGTCCAGCCCTAAACCCTCAACTCTACGTGCGGAAGCTGGTGGTCCGCCTGCTTGTGTCTGGAGGAAGGACGTCTCTGCGGCTTGACAATCCTTTCTCTCAGCTACAACTAGTTAAGGGAGGTTTAATTTTTGAAGTCCTTTAAGTTCATGGAGATCTTGGCAACTTGGTCTAAATTGATGTCAACGCTTGGCTAGCACAACCCTGCCTGCCGTAAGGATTTTAAATCGGAGTCCCCATTTAGTCACCCTCAGGAGGATCTGTTAACCAGGTGCCGGTGTTAGAGGCCTTTCGGGATTATGATAAGAGTATGCGGTGTGGCGGCGATTTGCAGTCTACGGATTGGGGGCAGCCCTTTCGCAATTGATAGAGCGTAGTCGCAGCACTGCTTGAATTCTTCGAGCTGTGATGCTTCTCGCGGAGTTGCGTCTTCGGTTGGTATGCTTCTTCAACTGCCGCATTCTGTCGCTCTGGATTAGCTTGCATCACCCTGTTTTCACAGCCGCTCCTCTCCCAAGACGCTAAAGTTGGGGGGCGGCCACAAACAAACTTCAACAAAGTCCACTGAGGAAAAAACTCTTCTTCCAGCTATTCGGAACATTAGCGGCTTGCTGCAACATGTCCTTCGTATTGTGCTTGAACAACTTTCGATCAAAGGTCACGAGACACACTGTGCAGAAACCTGGCTAAACACAACATGAATGCAAGGCGGAGGCGCGCTGAAGATGGGCTCTCTTGGTTGAATCCCCAGCCCACAGCGCGAATTCTTAAACATCCTAAATCCTAGACGCGAAAACCTCTGACTCGCTTGAGATATGGACTTGCGTGCAGTGCTGCATTGTCCTCGTCATCTGTGTGGATGCCAGTGGCCTGTGGGAGGCAGAGGACTGCGAGGATTGGAGCAACCGCAAGTCGGAATATCCTGCCTGCTTGACAGCCAGGAAGACGAGAGGCCAGAGAGTCCATGACAAGGCTAACTTGCAACACATTATGTCAGCTCCAAACCTACAGCGAACGCTGACTGCGCCGCGAGCGGTGAGAACAACTCAATGCCATGGAGCCCCCGAATCAAAAGCTTGGACGGTTCAGTCTGGCATGAGCCAGAGACATAGCTGCGGTCAGCTGAAACCGTATTCGTATGAGGGGCTTTGCCAGCAGGCCCGGGCACAGTCACGATGATTTGGTAGGGTGCTGTCGCGTGTAGCATTTTTTGAGTTTGGCTTCTCGGGGCATCTCGGACCAATCCCCTCAACCCTCCCACAAACACTCGACTTTGGCCAAAATCCCCGAGAAGTCCACTGCATTGGTCGGACTTGCTATTGTGCAGGGCTTTGAAGGCCCTCCATTCCCCCCAAATCCCCCTTACGTTGGGAGCAGGCCGCCTTCCGGAGATTGCGTCGATCTTCTCCGGAAGGTGCCCGAAGAGCTTGACGTCGCAACGTTTTCAGGGCTGGGCTCTCCTTGAACTTTTCCCCCTTACGCGGCTCGGTGATAGCGGCCGCTGCCTTGCTGATGGCGCAGTGATGTTCCCCCGGGGTTGCGAGGGTTTGTTGCATCCTCTGAACGGCCCCCCTTGGCGGTCTTGAGCTGTCGCGGGCCCCATATGTGGCTTTCCCCCCGCCTGTGGTCAGCACGAGTTCTAAGGTGGAGACCCTGGCCTCCCCCACTGTGCAGGGTTCCAGGAACAGTCCTCGTGCAACGAGATAGTCCAGCCTGCATGGTTGGAGTCTTTTATTAAGTGCAACGGCTTCGCCATGTCGTCGTGGGAACTTGCCCCCGACCATCGCCGCTTCGTTCTCCTCCCTCTCCCGCTCTCTCTAGCTCGTGGCTTCGAGGGCTACACGCAAAACCTAAACGCTAAACTGCATGGGTTTGTATAGCATGTAGGACCGTGGATCCTGCTTGGCAGGCAGAGCCCGACATGTTCCTCCTGCACATGCATTTGCGGGCACAAGCTGGACAAGGACGTTTTTGCTCCCACGCTTCGTCTGAAACTGGAGCACTAAACACTTCCTGGCGTAACACTGCGTAAGTCATGCAGGACTCAGATGACTCAGGTGTGGGCGACATAACGCAGCGCATCTTACGGCCGCGCCTCTGTCTCGATGCTCTGCCATCCGAATTCCTATCCATGAAGTGGGGAACTGAAAGCCGACACTTGATCTGTCAACTTTTGCAAGCGGTATCGTGGGGGTCATGGTGGCCCCAGCAGAGCGCCAGCAAGCCGCGGCTCAGCAGCGACGGAGCGAAGCGCCACATAGCCGTTACACAGAGCTTGCAGGAGGAGACTAACAGCTGCTCGAGCCGCGTCAAGGCGTTGACGGCGAGGAGTCGGTGGCTGCTGATTCCTTAGGTTTGCGTTAAGGGAATGGACATTTAACTTCCCATGGCTAGGAGCCGTTGCGATTTCTGGCAGGACAATATCTCATCATCTGTGGGTATTATATATATATATATAGACACACACACACACATATATATATATATATATATTACATATATGTGTGTATCATGGCTTGTCACGGTCATCTACATTACATCCTTGACAAGGACCCAGACTCTAAGGGCTTCGGGAGGCAGCTCTGAGGCCTTTCGCATGGCCAGGTCGATCTCTTCCTTGGCCGTGGTGATGACTTCGTCGACGTGCAGAGCGCACCACTGTCGCACTTTGGCATAGTGCCCATGCCAGGGGAAAGGGTGTTTGTGGCTGGCGAGGGCATTCCAGCTCGCCACCTTTTCCGGGTCGTTCATAATGTTGTACAACAAGTGTCCTCTCACATCTGGGTTCTAGCAAGTTACGGGCTGGGCTCTTCACTAACACAACATGAAGCCACTCAAGGCTATTGCGAAAAATCCTCCACGAGCTTGCAACTGCCCTTGCGCCCGTCAAGTCACACTGTCCTGTCATCCATGCATTGTGCACGTGCAGGTCAGTGATTGGAGTCACTGCACTAAGGCAGTATGGAAAGAGATTCTTTGAACCGCTGTAGCCCGTGCAGGATACCACTTGATCGAACTTCTCGCCGGGGAAAGCACTGCAGCTCACCAGGCCATCGGCATCCTTGCGGAACTCCATCTGGCTGGCATCACCGCAGATCCCATATCCTGGGAACTTGCTGAAGTGTTCGAACCCGTGCGGTATTTCTGGTGCCATATGTTTTGCTACATAACCGTTTTCTGGAAATTCATATGTTCAATTCGTTAACAAGAACCCAGCATCCGTGCAGCAGGAGATTCATCAGCAGAAAGTCGCGGAGCGGGATGATGCCTCCGCGGGTCTTCTCACGCACCTGCTGACATGTCCTGGGATCTCCTACAATGTACCAATCCAAGGAATCGAGGTCCTGCGAATAGTCCTGAGTTTTTGTTTCTGCGGCGCTGTTTCTGGTGAGCGGCTGAAACTAATTAAAATCCACACCTAAGAGCCTAAGAACCCTCAATATATGCTATGTAGTGATACTGTGACGAGCCAGTGTAAACTGTTTACTGTAACGAGGACCCAGAGTCATACTTCCAGTCTTCTGGCGTCACGCTCTCGTCAAGCATCGTGAAATGGATAAACGGATGGAGCCACTGCAGGATGCTGCTAAGCGGGCTGTTGAAGCCCCATCGGACATAGGCACAGGCACTACGGTAAATAAACCGTACCGTGTTGCCTTCCTGGATCAAGAACTTTGCAGCATCGATAGTGGACTTACCGCTGCCGATCACTAGACCTGCAGGATGTCGCCGCTTACAAAACCGAGGTTCGGGGAATACAAAATCCCTGTTCGAGATGTCGGGACATTGCGAAACCTTACACTTCAAGAGCATCTGGGATGATAGCATTGCAGTTCACCTGCCGCCAGGGCACAGCGCTTCCCCCGCAGGCTCTCGGTGACCTTGTTGAGGGCGCTGGAGTGCACCTCCAGAGGCAGCCCAAGTAGCCGCGGAACACCTGTCACAAGCCAGAACAACCTTGTGGAGAAACTACTGTAAGGGTTGCAACGCAAGCTGCTGAACTTGGGAGCCCATATAGGTTTCGAGTTCAGCAACTGCCGCAGCTGCGTAAAGAATGCACGACCCCCGGTACTAGCTTTTGTTGACACGGCCTACTGTGTAGACGACACCATGCTCGGTTCAACCTGCTAGGGCTCTCCATGAACTGACACGGCATGTTTGTTGAGTCCTTCTCTCGGAAATACATATTGAAGCTCAACAGATCAACATGCGGTGCACATGAGATAACAGGAGAGTGCTAACATGTATAACTTTCGCGGAGAATGGTCCGCTGCCGAAGGACGGAAGCAGCCGATACCGAGGTAACAGCCTCAACCATACATGAGAGCAGAGCAAACGAAAGCTAGGGCCCGGGGGACGGAAGGGGTAGCAAGGCATTGCAAATGCGAGCTGAAGATGGTAAGCGAATGTGAATGATGGCATGCCGTGTGCGAACTGGTAGGCAGCAGCTACTCGTATCCAACTAAGCTTGACGGAAGACTTGAGTTCGCATAAGCCCGCTGCTGGCTTCAATTGCGAAGACGTACGCTGTGGCTATATAGCCGAATGATAGCGGCTCTGCTGTCTGTTCTAGTGACCCCTTGAAGGAGGGAAGTGGGGACATGCGGGGACCTCAAGGCAGGGGACACCCCGCCTCTTTTCAGAGCAGCCTTCTTCATCGAGCGGGCGATAAGGTGTGGTGGGGAGGGGCACCAACCTGCTGATACTTAGATTAGATCCCGGATATGTCCGGAGCAAGGCCCCCCTCTCTCTCTCTCTCGCTCT